TAAAAAGTTCAGTCTCTTTAAAATTGCAAAGTTTCTCTAAAATCTCATCTCTTTAAAAGTTCAAACTGTGGGTGCTTGTTAAATAAAAAACTAGTTAAATACATTCTTACTCTAAGAAGGAATTGAACCAGGCTGCAGTTATAATCAAATTAAACCAAATTAAAGTTCAACATTATAAAATGTTCGGTGCTTGACATCTGTGCCTCACAACACTCTGGGCTCCAACAGCTCCATTTTTCTAGTTCTGCCATCCACAGGATACACAATTTGTCTCATAGGCTCAGGCTGGCTCCACCCCACATCAGCTGCTGTCCTTGGCAACCCTTCCTTGATACTGCATCTCCAAAATGCTGGGGTCTCTGCAACTGGGCTACTTCTTCACCAATACTGTCCTCCAGGGCTGTCTCCAGGGACTCTGACGCTGTCACATGGTGCCAAGCCTCAATGTCCCTCCATGACCTTTTCAAAAGATGGAATTCTGCTGCAACTGAAGGTTCGCCTTCATCAAAGGCCTCTCCCAGCCTCACTTCAGGGATGCCAGCCAAGCCACATAGCATCAAGCTCCAGCGGCTCACCATGACCTACCTCTTCATGCTTTCAGAACCAGTACCATCTAGAAAGCTCTTACACATTGCTGTATTCAGCTGCCGGCACAAGGTACAGCCTTGGCGGGCCCCCTCTGGACCACAGCTTTCGTGTGCTGAGGAAACACTTTCCAGAAGATTTCGCCTCAGTGATGCTGGTGTCTTTGTAATCACAGCTGATTCTCAGCCCCAGCTGAGCAGCATTGATTGTCCCAACAAAGAAAATGGTTCACTTTAGTGGTTCTGTCTCTTGTTAATTACTGCTGACCAAAACCACAGATTCTTAATACAAAATAGCAAATGGCTTGGATAATCTTTAAAGAGCTCCCAACCTTCCCTGTGAAGCCTCACAATCCACGTCTCTATATACCGCATGCCTCTCAATTCTCTTACTTTTGAAGCTCCTGGAGAACAGCCCACTGAGCTCTGAACACTTAACAGCTTTCCCAGCCTACAGTTCCAAGCTCCTTCCTAAATCCTCCCCTATACAGGTCTGTCACAGCAATACCACATGACCTGGCATCCATTTCTGTTTGAGAGGTTTTATTGCTGGAAGAAAACACCATGGCCAAAGCATCCTGGGGAGGAAAGGATTTCATCTTACAGCTTACAGCCCATCATCCAGGCAAGTCAGAACAGGGACCTGGAGGCAGGAGTTGATGCAGAGGCCATGGAGGAATGCTGCCAGTGGCCTGATCTTCATGGCTTGTTCAGCCTGCTTTCTTATACCAATCAGGACCACCTGCCCAGGAATAGCACCACCCAAAAAGAGCTGGGCCTGCTCACATCAATCATCAATCAAGAAAATACTCCACAGACTTGCCTTCAGGCCAGTCCTATAGAGGTTTTTCTCAATTAAGATTCCCTCTTTCCAGATGATCCTAGCTTGTCTCAAGTTCTCTTAAGCTTGTCTCATAAAAACTAGCCAGCACAAACATACTAATCAGTACCTGCTCCCACTAAACTGATCTTAGACTCAGGTTTTCCTGTTGATAACCTTGGGTGGAAGATACAATGTACTCCACAAAATGAGTCATTTGAGCTAATGCCACTCACACTAGATCTTATACCAACTGTATTAGGCTATGAGGTAATGTCTTTAATAAAGAGAATGACCATTAAAAATTTGCTGAAGAAATTTATGCTTTAGAGCCCACTGGAGTATTCCTCAGAGGCGACGGCCCACTTCTCTTTTTACAGAGGCATCAGGCATCCTTCCTAGCTTATGGCATGTTTTCTGTGTCATATATCTCTGATGGTGGTGCTTCTGGCATTGAACCCAAATACTAAGCCCCACACCTATCATTTTTTGGGAGTTATGCTTCGCTGAAAAATCTTACGTTAGGGGCTCAAGCTTGAGGGCATTTGGTGTGCCTCTAGTGCACCTGAGCTTGATTCCCAGCGCCCACGTGGGAGTTCGGAGCTGTCTGTAACTCCAGCCCTAAGCTATCTGATGCCATCTGCTTTCCTTCAAGGGTACCGAATGCACATGGGGCAGACATACATGCAGACAAAACTCCGTACATGTAAGAGAGAGAAAAAAAAAAAAAACCTTGTTAATCACAACTCATGGCCTTACCTTATTAACCTGCTTCTTGACAGCATAATTCTCCTCCTTCTGAGCTTTTCAGATATGGTCAACTGAGCAAACTGAAAGTGTGTGTGAACTGTTATCTCAAACACGAGGTAACAAATAAGCTGTGTCAGGCGATGAGACCATGTCTCATCACGGTACAGTCCTTTGAATTTTGTTACAAGCAGCTGAAACTTACTCTCCCTTCCAAAAATGTACATAATGCGTAATGCCCAGGCTCCACCCCCCAACTATGGTTCAAAATAGGCATGAAAGCCTAGGAATAAAATTTTGTATCTTCAGGCCTCTTGAAGGATTTGCTTTGTCATGTTCTAGAAGTTGGCACTAGAGAGCAGAACTCTGATGCTTTTGGCTCTCCTCTTTTGAGGCAACTGTTGTATTTGTTTTTGGTATATGGTAGCTGAACTCTTTATCTGCAGTTTGGTGTTTGCCTACAGTTTTAGTTACCCACGGTGAACAGCGGCTAGGAAACATTAAATGAAAACTTTCAGAAATAAACTATGTACAAGTTTTAAATGACCCTTCCAATTAAGACAATGAAATGTGGTACTGACCCCTCCCTCTCTCCTGCCTAGGAGGTGAGTCATTCCTTTGAACAGAGTATCCACACTGTATATGCTACTCGCCTGTTGGTCACCTAGTAAGTATCCAGTTTTGATCCACTTTGATGATTTCAAGCAATTCTCATAATAGTATGTTAGTGATAGTGGGTATAAGGATGGGCTCCGGTACTTTCTGTGTTCTGTAACATAGGAAGGAATCTGCACACATGCTCCATCAATGATCTGTTTGTTTTAAGGAGTGCAAAGAGTTGATATTTGCAGACTTTAATCAGAGCCAGGGGTCCAAGAAGTGCCTCCCTCCCAGATGTTCATAAAGATCATAAAGAAAAGCAGAGTGAAGGGTGATACCGAAGGAGGCATGCTCATCACGAACATCGATACTAAAGACGGTCTAGGAATTCTTGTGTTTTTTTTCTCTATAACAGCTGTTGGCTGGGGTTGAAATGCCCAGACAGTTTCTTTAGTTGCTAACCTGTCAGTGACCTTCTCGGATCACCTGTCCTCCGGATGAAGGGCAATGTGACCATTCATGTGTCCAGCACATGCAACGTTCCAGCCTTCCAGGTACACAGCAACTCCAGGGTCAGTCACCTTTATTCCCTCGCTGAGGACTCTGTATCACCTCGGGGCATCATAAGAAGGGGCGGTGTAGCACAGTAAGATTTGGAGAGAAGCCACACTCATAGGACGTTTATTACAGGTTGTTGTTCATAAGCATCCTATCAGTTGTTAGTCTAAATTATGCTAATGTACATATCAAACCCCACAATAGGTATGCATACACGGGCAAAGTATAGTATGTAGAGGGGTCTGTCCATTACCCATCATCCCTGGAAGTCTGGAAATGTATCTCCTGGAGAAAAGGGAGGTCTCTCATGTTTATATTTTCTTTGCTTCAAAAGAAAATTCTCTTTGTTTTGGAACTCAGATATTTCACCACGATACAGCAGCTGGCTTTGGTCTTAAATTATTCATTTTTAAAAGTGGGTGAGTCGGATGGAACTCAGCATTCGTTATCGAGGTTTTAAGAGCTGCATCCGTTTGTAAACCAGTTTTTACTTCGACTGGCATAGCCCCCTACACAGAGCTGAGCCCAGATGACAGCCATTCCACCTGACAGCTCACGAAGTTTCTCCCCTGGAGTTCGCCGCTCGGGGCCAGTACTCCCTGGGCCTGATAACCTGAGTTCCATCACCGGGACCCACAAGTTGCTAGGAGAGAGCGGAGTCGCAGTAAGTTGTCTTCTGACCTCCACATGCACGAGCCAGTGCATACAAATAAATGCAACAAAGCCATAAAACGAAACCCTTTATGGTTTAGAGGATGGAGAGGTGGTCTGTGCATGAGGACCTGCTTTTGGATTCCAGCGTCGGGGAAGCTGCGCAAACCCAGTTCTTGGTGGCTTACAGACCTAGGTCCAGGTTCAAAGAGAAACTTCATCTCAAAGGAACAAGGAGGGTGATGGGGCAGGACTCCCAGTGTCCTCTGTTCTCCTCACGTGCAGATACACCAAGGACAGAGACGCAGAGGAATTCATGACTTAATTCTCCTTTCGTTGCACACTTGGCTGCACAGAAAATGTTTTCTAGTTGTTAATAAGAGCACACTTCTGCTAAACTGAAAAATACCAGCGAACCTCCAAGTGCTGGTAGGTTTATGTCCATTTTTATTTTTTATTTATTATTATTATTTTTTACAGTTGGTGAGGGAATATTGAGGCTGAGGGCAGGACACTCTTAGGCCGGTTCTGACAAGAGTAAACACTACCACAGCACCAGGTACAGCTTAGAACTCCAAGGGCAGTGACGCTGTTTCTCCACAGCCCGCACCCTGAGCCTCTCCCATCTCTGCCCTAAGGCTGTGTTTACAATAAAAGCTTTGCGGTCTAGCTAAAAGGCTCTCGACGTCTCCTTTTATTGGCATTCTTAGAGCCAACCGAGCTGCCTGGACTGTGGCAGGAAACGGGGGGCTGGGAGAAGACGTCCCTGTGGAGCTCACGCCACGGAAATCAACGGCCCAGGAGCGGAAATTTCCCCGAGAGGCTCATCAATTAGTAATCGGCGAGCCCCTGGCCTCGGTCACAGGGCGAGGAAGAGAGCGAGACCACCCGGGAGCGTGCCGGAGGCGAAGCCACTTCAACGTCAGCGCGAGAGCCACCCCGTCCGGCCGGCCGCTTCCATCCACCCAGGACGTCCCCCGCCACCGCCCCAGGGTCCCGCCCGAAGCCCCGGCCCCCGAGCCCGCGGCCGCAGAACCTACCGAGCAGCAGGAGCCGGTGCGTCTGCTGCAGGTCGCGCCTCTGCTCGCGCAGCATGCGGTCGATGCCGCGGCTCACTCTCCTCGCCTCCCTCGCCGCCTCGCGCTCCTCGGCGCGCAGCTGCTCCTGCCGCCGCCGGCCCTGCGGCTCCCCGGGCGGCCGCACGCTCGCGGGGCTCCGGCCGCCGCCGCCGCCGCCTCGCCCGAGCGGGGTCCCCGCCGGAGCCCG